GGGGAGGAAGAATAACTCAGGGAAAGGGTGGCAGCCAGCAAAAGGTGTTCCATGAAGCCGGCTGCTGCGGTGGGCAATCAAAGCTTTGGCCCGAGGGGAAAGGCTGGGAGATGATGTAGAACACACAGCTCAGAATGATTCCATTCCAGGTTCAGAGGGCTTCTGGGCTCTTCCCACACCAGCACCTCAGCCCGGATGCAGGAACCAGCAGCTGCAGGTGTGTCTGAGAGAGGCCTCCCACAACTGCAGAAGGTGATGGATTTTCTATGTGAAGAACCTGGCGCAGGGCCTGGTGCCTAGAAGGTCATCAATAAATAAATGTCTTGTGTTAATTACATGCCATTGCAGCAGAGGGTTGAATGAGCAGGGTTCCTTGGAAGGATTCACTCACTGAATCAAATGCAAATACTGAGTTTGGGGCTTGAGAAATAAGGACCCAGGGCTGCTTTGGCCCCAGAGATTTCAGCAGCAGGGATTCGGGGGCCTTCTCCACAAATAGTGCTGTTGGGGGCTTCCAACGGCAGTCACATCCCAGCCTTTGCTGTGGCTGAGCTTCGGGATCTGGGGGAAGTTCTGACTGATCTAACCTGCTCATAAGCTCTCCCTATAGTTAGGGATGGATGATGTGAGAAGCGTCTCACAAAATCATGGATGCTGGCCCTGTAACAAACAAGAGTTATGGATGGCCCTCTTCCCCTTCCTGGCCACCCTGCATGTACATACTTTCTTATTTCCAGAAATACAGTTTCAAATTGGACACCTTTTCTCTACAACAGAGGACGGCCTAAGTCTCACTGACTATTGCGTCCAGAGGGAACAGAGTCATTCCCCTCCAACTGGAAACCTCCAGATGATGTGCATTTCTTCACTAGTCCCATGCCTCTCATCAGCGGGCATGCGCTCCCAGAAAATACCCTGATCGGCGATTTCATCACTGCCTGCCGTGGGCTGCTGCAATGGCATACAATTTAATACAAGACATTTATTTATTGATGACCTTCTAGGCACCAGGCACAGCTGCTTTGCACATGCCCTTCGCCAACATTCTGCAGAGGAAGGGTTGCTGACCAGACAAATATAAGATATGCCCACCATACTCACTTACAGGGGAGATGGCGGTGAGACTCCCTTCCAGAGAGATGGGGTTTCATTGCAGAACTAGATGTTCCCTGAACACACTGCTAACCAACACCCAAGAATGTGTGGGATTTTCAGTGTGCAACGCAGAAAATGTCTGGTCAAAGGGAAATGTAATTCTATAATTTCTGCCCCCTCGTTTTGTCTGGTAGCACAGTGGCTCTGAGTCCATAACCCTCTCTGTGGAGTGATTCAGAGCTGCCCTGAGAGGCCAGGGGAAAAGGTCCACCGAGGCTGCCAGGGGATGGAAGGATTTAGACCACGCAGCAGTGCGGAAGCATCAGACGCAGAAAGCCTGTGTGGCAGGACATTAACAGGACTCTTCTTGTGGTTTGGCTGGGACACGAAGACAGTGGCTTCCTTGTGCCAAAGCGAGACCACCGTCAGAAATTTTGAAGCAGGTGTTCAAAATCCGTTCCAGCAACACTTGTTTCGCCGGGCTTGTGGACGTAGAAGAATTTACTTCTGTTTCATTTTAAATGCCTTTTAAGTAATGACAAACATTACCAGTGAAGGGGAAAGAGGATGAGTGAAAGAATCCAATACATTTGGAAACGGCAAGTGATGCGATAGTCATTTCATCTTTAAAAAGTGCATACCTGCTCCCCAGCACCTGAGGCTGTTCTCAACCACATTTGAAGGCACAGCTCTTCTAAAGTATCTGCCTTGTGGAGTCGCTCTGACTGCAAACCTATGAGTGGCCTCGATGGCCTTACGTGCATTTCGGAGAAGAGAGGTACATAGTTGTTTGTTTCTATTTTTTATTTCTTTGTATTTTCTTTTAATTTTTTAAATGTTTAATTATTTTTAATATACTTTTTAATGTTTATTTTTGAGCGAGAAAGAGAGAGCTTGAGTGGGGGGAGGGGCAGAGAGAGAGGGAGACACAGAATCTGAAGCAGGTTCCAGGCTCTGAGCTGTCAGCCCAGAGCCGGATGCGGGGCTCGAACCCACAAGCCATGAGATCATGACCTGAATGGAAGTCGAATACTTAACCAACTGAACCTCTCCCAGGCACCCCTCTGTTTTCCCCAAGCCAGTTCCTTTTTTTTTTTTTTTTTTTTTTTTTTGAGAGAGAGAGACAGTGTGAGGGAGGGGCAGAGAGAGAGAATTCCAAGCAGGCTCCTTGAGGTCAGCGCACAGAGCCCAGCACCAGGCTTGAACCCACAAAACTGTGAGATCATGACCTGAGCCGAAATCAGGGGTCGAATGCTTAATCGACTGAGCCACCCAGGCGCCCCCCAAAGCCAGTTCCTAAAACAGATTTCCCCTCAAAGAAATTGTATTTATTTTAGAAGCCTCTTCAACTGCAGCTGCGTATAAATCACAACTGTAATTGCCAGGCTTCATGTCAGCAACACAGCCGAGAAGGCCGCAGAGCCGAGCAAGAAGCCTGTGATATTAATTACAGGGAGACACGTTGTGCTTGGGAAACAGGTTTGATAAGAGATTCTGACATTCCTCCTAATTCAAAATGTAATAAATGATGACTTATGGAACCAAGCGAAACTGTCAGTATAGAAAAACCTCCCTTCAGTTACTCAGCTTCCAGACTCAGGGTGAGAGATGATCCCTGGGTTCCAAGGCTCCGGCCAGACCCATGAAGCAGCCGTGACCGCGACCAGCCCTCGAGCCCTCCCCCAGAGGCGGATGCCTCCAGTGCCATCTGTCCTTTCCACAAGCCATCAGCTGCTTGGAAATGGCACTTTTTAGAGGGGCTTAGTGGTAACGCATCATGCTCTGATTTTAGCAACAGCAGTTGACTCGCGTTGGGGAAGGTACTAATTTTTCACCCCAGCGGATTTCTATTAGGAAAGAATGTTTACCTGGTGGGACTATTCTGGGATGTGCCATACTGGGGGAATTCCTTTCATTCCTTCCCCCCATTCCAGGGCAGACTCAGCTTGAGAAACACGTGTTTTGGTCTGCGGCTGCGCGGTCATGGATTGGGGGAATTAGACCGAGTTATTTCAGTAGCGATCCAGGTGGAAAGCGGCCAGAGAGGAATGGGCAGCTGCCTGGGAACCTCGCCCTCCCAGGCTCCAGCTGCGTCATCTCAGAGAAGCCACATCTCCAGGCTCTGCTTCCTTCGTCTGTTTGGGACGATGGCACCTCTAACATGCCCCAGGTTCTTGTACAGGTCAAGTGAGACAAGCATATTGGAAATTACAGGACCTGTGTAGGCGTTGTCATTAGTTTATTCAAGAGGAATTTGGACCCTATGATATGTGAGCATCAATTAAGTTACAGAAGAAAATAAGTGTTCACTTCCAGCCACGCAGCTGACAAAGCTGATACAAGACATTCCTTCCTGTTCTGAACACATAAGACACTGGATCAAGTGTTTTCAAATATGCTTTATTTTTTAAAAATATTTTTTATGTTTATTTTTGTTTTTGAGAGAGACAGAGCACAAGTGAGGGAGGAGCAGGCAGGCAGAGAGGGAGACACAGAATCCGAAGCAGGTTCCAGGCTCTAAGCTGTCGGCACAGAGCCCGACGCGGGGCTCGAACTCACGGACCACAAGATCATGACCTGAGCCGAAGTCGGACACTCAACCGACCAAGCCACCCAGGTGCCCCAAGAAGAAAGGCTGTTTTCAAATATGCGTTAAAAATGCATGCCCAACCTTGATGGGAAGGAAGGCCCTAGATACCATCACAGAGGGAATTAAAGCCACATTAGTAAGTGAATGAATTCATGCCACCACAAGCCTGGGGTATATCAGATTTGGGTGTAGGCCCCGGAATCCAAAGGCTTTGGGGTTTTGATGCATACGACGGACAAAAGATATGTCCTTGGGCTGATGGGACATGAGATATGGGTGCGGAGTAAATGCTGGTTTTGGGAACCTGAAGTTTATACAAACCTATAGGGAGTGTCCTCTTTAAGAAAAAAAAATTAAAATTGCAAACACAGAATTTGATACAAAAGTTAATATTTATTTAAAACGAGAAGCCATCAAAAATAAAATTTTAGGGGCACCTGGGTGGCGCAGTCGGTTAAGCGTCCGACTTCAGCCAGGTCACGATCTCGCGGTCCGTGAG